CCCCTCTCCAACCCTGACTTCCCCGGGACTGCCCTCGTCCTAAGCCCCGCCCCTCTCCGAGGAACATCCCCAGTTCCAGTCTCCGCGCCCCCACTCTAGTCCCTCCCTTGGACAGCCCCTGAGCTTGCGACCCAGGCAGCACCGCCCCTCCTAGTGGCAACTGGCTGGGAATGGCTGAGGGACTACCTACTTTTTGCAGCCCCACAGAGGGTGTGTGTGTGGGAGGGGGTAAGCCGAAAGGGGGCGGGACTGAGGGGGGCGGGCCTGGACACTGGGAGTGAAAGCGAAAGCCGGGGCTAGAGTCCCGGAGATCGAAGATTTGGCAACTGGAGCAACATGGCCAAGCCTTGTGGGGTGCGCCTGAGTGGGGAGGCCCGAAAACAGGTAACCGGGAACCGGAAACCAGGACGGGGACGGGGGGACGGGGAACCCTTCTAACGGAGGCCAAGCTGGGTGATCTAGGGGACCGAGGCCGTGCCAGAGAACTCCCCCAACCTGTCTGTAGTGCTTTCACTTCTGTACGGTAATTTCCAGATTCCTGCCCTTTCACCACTTTCTGTACTGGAGCAGGGATTTCCAAGGAAAACTGGTTTGTGGAAAAGGCCATAGCCACAGTTGGATGGCAACCCTTTGGGGCTGGGATCTTACTCTTGACAACTGAAAAACTCTTAAACTAATATCCGGGTACTGCTGTCTGCAGGTGGATGTCTTCAGACAAAATCTTTTCCAGGAGGTAAGACTCTGAATTCAAGTGATTTGGCCCAGAATCTTAGAGCAATACTTGAGTGTCACAACCCCTCAGTGACCCCGAATCCACCCTAGACTTGGTCCCTACTTTCCTTACCAAGTCTACACCCAGGATGAACTCTTAATTATTGATTTCTACTTTTAATTTGACCCTCTAAGAATTCTTCCCCCACTTTCCTCCCCTCTTTTGATGGGGAGGGAAAGGCATGACCCTCAAAGCAGGAACACCTCAGTCCTAAACTTGGTTCTAACACTTACAATCATGGGCAAGTCCCTTCATTTCCAACATTTCAGTTTCCTCATTTGTAACTCAATAATTTCCAAGGGCCTGTCCAGTTTCACTTTTCACACATTTCACTGATGGTCTTCTATGGTTCCCCAAACTTGCAATGTAACCCACAGGCTGAGGAATTCCTCTACAGATTCTTGCCACAGAAAATCATGTACCTGAGTCAGCTTTTGCACGTGAGTAGTGTGGGTCCCTTCTGCCCCATCCTGTGGCCTCTCCTTTCTGCACACCCTCTTTAACTATCAACTGGGTTCAGCGCACAGAGAACAATTGTGAGTTGTGGATTGAAAGTATCAGAATGGTGTGAAAGGCCTGAGCCTAGATTGCAAAGCAAAGGGCAAATGTGTAGAGGGAAGGCTATGACTTAGGGTGAAGGGAAGAGGCTGGGCAGCACTGACACTGAACTCTGTGCAGGAGGACTCCCTCAATGTGGCTGACCTGACCTCCCTCCGGGCCCCTCTGGACATACCCATCCCAGACCCCCCACCCAAGGATGATGAGGTGAGGCACCCAGGGTACAGGGTTTAGACTATAAACCCAACTGAGCTGATAGCCTTTTGGCCTCCATGACTTTTCTAAAGAAAGCTTCTTTACCCCGTTCTTGCCTTAGATGGAAACAGATAAGCAGGAGAAGAAAGAAGGTAATGGAGGAAGGGGTGATCAGGGAAGGGGAAATGACACACTGACTACTAGAGGAGAAAGGGCCCAAATCCCTTCTTTCTCACAGTACCCAAGTGTGGCTTTCTCCCCGGGAATGAGAAGGTCCTGGCCCTGCTTGCTCTAGTTAAGCCAGAAGTCTGGACTCTCAAAGAGAAATGTATTCTGGTAAGCCTGGGAACTGGGAGAAGTGGGAAGAGAAAATAAATATCTCCTTCAGAGATGCAAGGCCTTCATCCAGAGACCTAGTCCCAAACAAAGAAACTTCCTTCTGTGCTTTGGGTTTAGATCCCCTTTGTTCTAATTCTGTTAGACCTTTGCTATTACAGTAGCACTCTTGAAATGTGAGACTGCTATATCCACTCTATAACCTCATATTGTACTGCTGTATCAGGTACACAGTGGAGATGATGGAATAGAGTGAATTGGTTTAAAGGTGTGGATCCTAGAGGGAATCTGGGTTCAAATCCTTATTTTCTCACTTACCAAGTTGATAACCCTAAGTCACTTAGACATTCTGTAACTCAGCAGGGGGGCAGGGGAGACATTCTGCGACTCTGGTGTTTTATCTGTTAAATGAGTATAATAAGAATATATAAGTTGGGCTAGACATAGTGACTCCTAGGGAGGTTGAGACAGAATAATCACAAGATAGAGGCCACCCTTGGTCACTTAACAAAATTCTCTCTCAAAAATAAAAAATAAAAAGGGCTGGGGATATACCTCAGTAGTAGAGTGCCCTTAGGTTGTATCCACAGTATTGCAAAACACACACACAAACACGCACGTGACAATTAAAAATTAAATGAGATAAATAATTTATAGCACAAAGCCTGGCATATAATCAGTGCTCAATTAAATAGAGCTGTTATTAGAAAGTGGCATAAGAACCCAGTAGGTTTGTTGAATGATTCTTCCTCTTAATGTAGGTGATCACTTGGATCCAGCATCTGATCCCTAAGATTGAGGATGGAAATGATTTTGGGGTGGCAATCCAGGTAAGAAAAGGGTGACTGAGGACACAGAAAGGAAACTTGGGAGACATAGGAGTTATGCATGAATTAGGTGGAAAGGGAGCTAATGAAGGAGATAGGAGATGAAGTATTCTCTTTGCCTCCCATGTCACCACAGGAGAAGGTGCTGGAGAGGGTGAATGCTGTGAAGACGAAAGTGGAAGCCTTTCAGACAACCATTTCCAAGTGAGGGCTGCTGCATGAAAGGCTGCAAGGACATTCATTTGGAACTGCCAAAGCTAGGCAGTCCTATCAGGGTGATGGGAGATTCTGGGAAGGGGATTTGAATATATCTCCCTGAACACAATCTGTGTTATATCCTTTGCTTGTGACAGGTACTTCTCAGAACGTGGGGATGCTGTGGCTAAGGCCTCCAAGGAGACCCATGTAGTGAGTGCATAGCCCACCAGTCTTTTAGCTGACTGACTATGGGTGGGACTGGAGGTGGGTGGGAAGAGGTCTTCTTCATGACTTTCCCAATGTGAAGAATATTAAATCAAAATATTTCTTTAAAAAAAGTAATTACAAAAATTAACAAAGAAAAAAACCCTGTCCCCTAAAAATTAAAGAAAAAATTACAGAAGAAAGAAAAAGCATTGCCTAGTTTGGGCTTCCACAACCATGACATTTTCTTCTGCCTTATCCTATGGGATACCCTTCCTTGGTGCTGAGTAGAAGCTTATCTTCAAGTTACCTATTCCCTATTTGAGGAAACCAAACTGATAATCCAGCCTCCCATGGGACTGACTCAGCTTTGCCTCCTGTATCCCAGATGGATTACCGGGCCTTAGTGCATGAGAGAGATGAGGCAGCCTATGGGGAGCTCAGGGCCATGGTTCTGGACCTCAGGGCCTTCTATGTGAGTGTGGAATAGACTCCTAAGGGAGGTGGATGGATGGGGTGGTGCTGGAGGCTAAGAACCTAACTCCTGCTTTTCTGCCCTTCCTGCAGGCTGAGCTTTATCATATCATCAGCAGCAACCTAGAGAAAATTGTCAACCCAAAGGGTGAAGAGAAACCATCTATGTACTGAGATGGAAAATAAATGACCTATACTGTGTGATTACCTGTGGTGTGTCATTGATTTGAAGCACATTCATTGAGTGCTGAGGTGAATGTGGTGGGAATGGGAAAAAGTACCAGGAAGACAAAAATGAATTAGATGCTCATTTTCTTCTTAAGAGGTCTTCTTAAAGAACAGGGTGGAAATTGTTATATGCCATGCAGATAATCCACATTTTGGAGTATCAGAGTTATTTCCATCTAGTGGTCTTATGAATGTTTCATGGTAAAAACACACCTGAACAGAGCCCTTACAGAAATAATCAAGTTTTAGATAGATGGGAAAGCTCTGTGGCTGAGGTCCAGGAATACAAACCAAATGAAAATCCTTAGCTCATAGCAAGCCTGGAAAGAGAATGTTGTTTCCCTGGGAGGATTAAGGGCGAATAAGTGAACTTCTTAAGGGCTGGCAGAGGGGGAAAGTCCTTCAAAGCCATTGTGATAAAGTTAATGTATCACAGATCATTATGAGAACAATGATTTGTAAAGTTTGTTATGTTTTGTTTTTTTGGTCCCTTTTACCCGATTTCAGCTATTTGCTTTCTTTGTGATTGCCTTTTGGTATTCAGCTCTGAAAAGGTGGTAGAGACAAGGATCCTCTGCTGTGATCTTTGCTATAAACTCCATAGGACTGTTCTTTAACCTAGGGCCTTGTCCCGTTTTTTTTTTTTTTTTTTTTTATGTTTATATTTTAGTTATAGGTGGACACTATCAATTTTTATGTGGTGCTGAGGATCAAACCCAGTGCCTCACGCATGCTAGGCGAGCGCTCTACCTTTAAGCCACAACCCTAGACCCCTTGTCCCGTTTTAAAATATGGAATAAGAATGCTCCATAGCATTTGACAGTTTGGAAGTCCATCTATATCTACGTCTTTATATATCTCATTTATAATAGGAGCAAGGGAGTCGGCTTTTTCCCCACCTTCAAAGATCCTCTGTTGCCTGATTGCGGGCACCCAGCTAGTTCTGAGGGGATCATTGGAGAGATAACAGGTAATCCGCAGAGCCAACCAGCAATCAAGAGCAAAAGTCGGATAACCCAGCCAAGAAGCGCGTGGTTTCCTTTCTTTCACTTCTGCGCATTACTTCCTCCTCGCCCGAGGCAAGGGCGGGGCAAGACTCGAGCGCGGTCGTTGATTGGACAAAACGAGATCCTGTAGACCTATCAAAGAGCGGAACTTGGGCGGGACTCAAGCGTGTTCTTCTAGGAGCCGGCGCGGACCTGAGCCTGTCGCTAGGGGCCGAGAGGAGGAGCTTGGCGTGGCGGCATGCGACCGCGACCGCCTTCTCCGCTACGCTGGGGGCGGGCTCCCGACCTAGATCTCCCTGAGTCCATCGGCTGCCTTCCAGACGTGTCATCATCACGGTCAAATCTAAGTGATAGGGCACCGGGAAAGGCCAAGCTCGCCTGCGCGGGGTGGAGAAATCACACTAATCCGGTTTCCTGCGTCCCAGCAGGTCCCGCTTGTCATGGGGGAGGTGGAAATCTCGGCCCGGGCCTACGTGAAGATGTGCCTGCACGCGGCCCGGTACCCGCACGCTGCGGTCAATGGACTATTGCTGGCGCCAACGCCGCGGGCTGGAGAATGTCTGTGCCTCACCGATTGTGTGCCCCTTTTCCACAGCCACCTGGCCTTGTCCGTCATGCTGGAGGTCGCCCTCAACCAGGTGTCACTACGGGGCACATATCCCCAACCCCGACCCTCTGGCTAGTCTCCTAACACCATTAGCTCAAGTCCATGCCCAGCCCCTTGGCAGCAATGCGCACCCACAGAGCCAGCAGCATGGTTTAGTTACTGATGGCTCCTTTCCCACGACAGGTGGACGTGTGGGGCACACAGGCCGGTCTGGTGGTGGCTGGGTACTACCATGCCAATGCAGCTCTGGATGACCAGAGGTGAGTGGGGTAGTCAGAAGTAGAAGGCAAAGGATTATGGAGATTGTGGGTGGGATGCAAATGAACTAATGTCATTCATTCCATCTTTCTTTCATCAAATGCTCAGGAGCAGGGTCTGTACATCAGGCACTATGCTGGATAGTAGAGTAAGGAGATATAAAGATAAATAAGACCTTCCCTGGAGGGGCTGCCACATGGGTGGGAAGGACAACTGTGTTTCAACAAGATGGGGCTGATCTTGCTTTAACTGAGGTGTCACCCAAGTGCTGCAAGAACACAGAGGAACCCTAACCAGCAACTTAGAAAAAAAACCCTTGATATATGTAATTATATATATGTGTTTATATATATACATCACATATATAAATCAAGTTAGAAATACTGTTTTCTAATTTGCCTTTCTCCCTCACTTAATAAATATTTGACATCTTTTGATCTCCACACCAAGATCTGCTTTAACACAACCGCTATAGTATGTGAATATGGATATACCATAATTTATTTAAACATTGAGGTTATCTCCATGTTAAGAATTTTCTAGGGGCTGGGGATGTGGCTCAAGCGGTAGCGTGCTTGCCTGGCATGCGTGCGGCCCGGGTTCGATCCTCAGCACCACATACAAAACAAAGATGTTGTATCTGCCGATAACTAAAAAAAAAATAAATATTAAAATTCTCTCTCTCTTAAAAAAAAAAAAAAAGAATTTTCTATTACTACACTTTTTTTTTTTTTTTGTGGTGCTGGGGAATGAACCCAGGGCCTTGTGCATGCGAGGCAAGTAGGTATACCAACTAAGCTATATCGCCAGCCCCTACTACTGTTAATTCTTTATAAATCGACTCTCTTGGTTAGCATATGCTAAATATTACACTTTCAATTTGGATGGTTTATGCCAAATTACCCTCCAAAAGACCACATTTGATTTCTGCTCTCACCAGCAGTGTCTGAGCACCTGTTTCCCACAGCACTCAAGCATCAAGCAATCCTTCATCAAGCATCCAGCAGGCCCATCCCCCTCAGGCCAGCTACAGGGAAAGTCCACAACTACGACCGCATCTATGAGACCTGGGAAGCCCAGCTCAAATGGATGGGGTCTACCCACAGTTGGCTGCTCACTCTGATCTTCCCTCTACACAGCCCTGGGCCCCTGGCCTTGAAAATTGCTGGGCGAATTGCAGAATTCTTTCCTGATGCAGTACTTATTATGGTGAGGCTTGGGTTTCAAGATGGGGAGGTGGAGAGAGTCAGGAAGGAGATCCTTGAAACTCTTATCTGCCCTTCTTTGTCTACCCAGTTGGATAATCAGAAACTGGTTCCTCAGCCTCGAGTGCCTCCAGTCATCGTCCTAGAGAACCAAGGTCTCCGCTGGGTCCCCAAGGACAAGAACTTGTGAGTGCCCCACTCCCTCCACCTCACCTTAGAAGCCCAAGGTTCCTGGACCTTCTCTGTCCTTGGTCTTTCTCTGTCCTTGGTCTTTCTTCTTCTCAAAACCCAACTTCTCTTAAGTCAGTGTCTGGCCCCACTGTCCTGCTGTTTGACTTCAGTGGGGTTTTCTATTTCAGAGTGATGTGGAGGGACTGGGAAGAGTCACGGCAAATGGTGGGAGCACTACTAGAGGGCCGGGCCCACCAACACCTTGTGGACTTTGACTGCCACCTTGATGACATCCGGCAGGATTGGACCAACCAACAGCTGAACATCCAAATTACCCAGTGGGTTAGTTCCACAAATGAAAATGTCTGAGCTAGGACCAGAGGGTTCAGGATCCAATAAAGAGACTTGGGCTGGTGGGCAACAGTATGACTATATTTATTGTGCCTGGGAGGCAAAGTGAGGAAGAAACCTCAATGGTAGGAAGGTAAGGGAAAGTCTGGGATCCCTGGTAAAAAGCAGGAAGGTCTCTGCTGTACTCATCACAGAATGAGAGAGAAGTCTCTCAATAGATCATTCCCTTTGTTTCTCCTCGGGGCTTCTTGAGCTTCTCAAAGTTCTTCAGGATGATGTCATATAACACAGCCTATAGGGCCAGAGAGGAGTGAGGGTAAGTCACAGGCCCTCAGTGGTTCTGTACCTCACTTCTAGCCTGTGGAGAGGCCAAACTTTTGTCATTGTTGACACTTAGCCTGCAAGGTCAGGGAGTAGATGACCTAGGAAAGGGGTCTGCCCACCCCTGCCCAGCCTTCGCCCCCTCACATAAGCGTTGCGGATCTCCATGACCATCAGCCGAATGTCCCGGTACTCTGCTTCATCCAACTCATGGACCAGCTGCCGATAATCACCCTGTGGAAACTCAGGGTCAGACCTGATTTGAAATGTGTACTTCCCCCATGCACCCTGACCTGGATATCACCTACCACATGGGGCTGTTTAGCTGCTTTGGTAACTGCATCACCACGCTCAGAGAAATACCTGTGGATAGGAGTATTATGTATGGAGTGGAAGAAGGAGAAAGCCCAGGCCTCTTTCCCCAAACAAACAGAGTGTGTACAAGGGTGCAGGTGGCTGGTCACTTACTTAGAGATTTGAGTGTGGAAGCCTTCCAGCTTGGTGTGAAGGCTAGTCATCAGCTCAAATACCTTCTCCTAGGGAAAGAAAGCATGGTTGTGGGTGTGTGGGGGTGGTAGGGAAAAGATATACAAGTTATACAGGAAGATTGGGGGTAGGGTGATGCTCTTACCTGGACAGCCACTCCAAAATTATTCCCATCCTCAATCCGAGGTATCTGTAGCTGCAACCATGTAGTGACCTGGAGGGAGGGAATAGCATCAAAACCACATCAGCTCACATCCAATCCCAGGTTCCCATCTTCCCTAGCCTCCTTCATTTGCTGTGTCCTCTCCTGCTGAGACCTAGCAAGTGCCATGCCCTAACTGTTGGACCAAGAGCACAAAGGGTTTCACATGAAGGCAGGAGGGTAGAAGTGGGAGGGCTCACCAGGTTGAGTTGCTCGATGACATCCTTGATTTCAGGTTTCAGACGTTGCAGGAGGACCACAATCTTCTCATTGCAGTTCACTGGGCCACAGGGAGGACCTAGAAAGTGAGCAAGGGGTCAGTTACATGGCAGCCTGTGTGGAAAGGAATCCTTCGGAAGGAGCTCCTGCAGCTTGGGACCCAACTCTTTTTCACTACATAAATTTCAAGTACCTTTGTCTTCATCTTCCCCTTTCTTCTTCTCATCCTTATCTTCCTTCTGTAGGGAAAGAAGGGCTCTTTGGAGACAGGACTAAAGCTGATGATTTTCCCCATGGTTAGGCCCCTCCTCCCAGGTCTCCTAGCTTGCCTCCTGCTGTTTCTTCCGATCCTCCTTCTCTTTGTCCTTGACTGGATCAGGCACTGGGATGTCCAAAGGGGCCTTCAAATTGCTCAGGTTGACTTCATTGAGAGCTGGTTCCTGGGTGCAGGGTTGGAGGAAGACTGGAGATGAGGATATCCCTCTCAAGGCCCACCAGACTCTCCTCTTGGCCCCCACTCTCTAGTTCCCTGCCCTGATACCTTTAAAAATGCATCCAACTCAGAAATCTTCTTGGGGAAATAGCTCCCGAGCAGGTTCTCTGTCTGTGTGTGAGGTGGGGGTGGAGGAGGATGGGGTTCAGATTCAAATGCCTTTACAAGGCAGTGAGGCTGGGGTGACACTGCCCAGCAAGGGATGGCTGAGCAGCAAGAACTGGGTAGAGAAGGGTTGCTGATGGGGCAGGTCTTACCTTGGTACACAGGTCTTCACGAAACACATCCACCTGTGGGGCACAGGCAACACTTCAGAAAGGGTGGCTTAAGGCCAATGTATTTGGTCACAGTTAGAGTTGTGTGAGAGATGGAGTGGATCCCTCCAAAGTGACACCTGAAGATGGAGGATGGGTCCCTGTGAGGGTGGACTGGAGTGGTGGAGGAGGGGATCTCTGCAGACCTGGATATGGGGAGGGTGAAGTGGATCCCTGTGAAGCTGGATTTGGGGGATGAGAACATTCCTGGCAGTGAATGGTGACTGGTTCATTTGAGAACATCCCTGGGGTCCCCTGGGTTGTGTGAGGAGGAGTGTGAAGAGAGCCCTCTGTCAGTGGGCTGGGACGGAGTGTCCCACAGAATGAGATCTGAAGCCCTTTCTAAGGGAAAGACCGCGGTGGCAAGGGCATGTCTGGCGCCCCAATTGTGTGTGGCCCCGGGGTTCTGGGCCAGTGGACTTCCCCTCCTGTCCTATTCTCTGCTTCACCTCACTCCGCTGAAGCATGGCCACCTAGCCTCTCCCTGGGGTCAGGTGCTTGGGGCACGTAGCCCCCACACAGGTGGCGGCTGGGCAGAGGGCCAGGGGCCGGGGGCGGGTCAGGGGAACCCTCAGCGTCTCCGAGCCACGCCTCCCCAGTGGCCTGTGCTCCAACCCGCGGCGCTCACCTTGGCTTGGGCTTCAGGCTGGACCCTGAGTGTGGCCATGGCCGGGGCGAGGGGCCTCGCGCCGCACGAGGAGCCGGGAGTGGGCACCGGGAAGGGAAAGCGAAAGCAGAGCTCGCTCGCAACCCGCACGGCCTTCCTGGGTATTGGGGAGTGGAGGGACTGGAGGAGGCGGGGACTGCCCGGGACTGGGGCGGGGCGGACCGCCAGGAAGGCAGCTGAGGCTGGGCTCCCCCTAGAGCCCAAAAGGAGTGCTTCCTCCCGATTCCTCCGCCTCTCCGCCCTGCTCTGGTTCCCGCCTCCGAGGCTGGCCTTCCAGTCTCGCATCTCCGCCCGCCTCTCAGTGCCAGCCTTCTGCCTCCGCCCCTCCAGCCTCTCTCTGCCCCGGCCTCCCATCTCCCTTCCTCCGCTACCGGCTCTGTTCTTCCCCTGCTCGGCCTGGAACAATAAACCTTATTTGATATTCTTCTATTTTTTTTTCTAAAATGGAACAAAACCTGGCATCTCTTCTCTAGCCTCTCCAGTATGGTCCCCTGCCTACATGGGCATCCTCTGTCCCACCAATCCATATTCAGACATTGGCACGATGCCTACTCAATCCCTTATCTGCTCCCCTCGGGACCGGAGCTGCAGGCTCCATTCCTCTATGACCTGCTCTCGCAGAGCAACAGGTTTGCGTCTCTCTAGATGAAATGCAAAGGCCCTACCTGACACTTGTCTCCCCTTCAAGTTCACTTTCTATTTCTTTCCGCCTCATTCATTACACTTGCAAATACTTGGGTTTTTCATTTGTCTTTCAAAGGCCTCTTGTTCATTTCTGCCTCGGATAATTTGCCCTTGAGAAGCCCTTTGCCTCAAACACCCTTCCCTTGGATGTTGACATTCAATTCTCAGATCAGCTGTTTCCTCTTCAAGGAGATCTTTCTCCATTATCCCTTATAAAGTACTTCTCTCCAAATTTCTGTTATAAATCAGTGTTCTAGTGCCTTCACAGCACTTATCTCTGATATTAGCCAGTTTGTGGTGTGTGTGTGTGTGTTTGTGTGTGGTTAAGAGAGGGTAATGTAGTGGTTTAAACTAGGGCTAAGCAATCTTTTTTTTTTTTTTTTTTTTTTCCTGTAAGAAATGAGATGGTAAGTATTTCAGGCTTTCTGGGCCTTACTGTGTCTGTAGCAACTACTCAATTCTGCCATTGTAACAGAAAAGCAGACTATATAAATGAATTAGTGTGGCTAGGTTCCAATAAAAATTTATGGACACTAGAATTATAGTTTTATATAATTTAAATGTGCCATGAAATGTTATTCTTTGATTTTTTTAGCCACTTAAAAATGGAAAAATCAGATGCAGCCATACATGACTGCAATCTCAGCCGCTAGGGAGGATGAGGCAGGAGGATCAAAAATTTGAGGACAGACTCAGCAACTTAGCAAAGCTCTGCCTTAAAATAAAAAATGAAAGGGTGTGTGTAGGTCAGTGGTAGAGCGCCCCTGGGTTCAATCCCCAGGGAGTTGGGGGAGCCGGAAGTAAACCACTTTTCGTTCGCAGGCTATACAACAACTGGCCACAGGAGGGCAGTAATTGGTTAATCCCTGGTTTAGGGTACAGCCATTGCACCGTTATTGCCTGGGTTTCTATTCCTGTCTGCTCAGTATCTGTGAACAAATTACCTAGCCTCTGTGCCTGGGTTTTTGCAATTGTGAAAGAGGAACATTACTAAATCAACCTGATAGTGTTGTTGCGAGGACTAAATGCATTAATTTATATAAAAACTTATAGACATTTAGACATTGTTAAATAAATGAGCACAGAGATGCCCTATGAGGAAGACAGAGATAGGAAGTGTTCCTTTATGGGGTCCCCAGAGAGGCAGCCCCTTGAGGATAGTGGAGAGGAGATTTAGTGGAGAAATTAGAAAAAATAAACAAATTAGGCTGGAGAGAAGCACCTACTCAGGGAGGGTGATATACACACCTAAGGACACTATCACCTGCCTTAGCAGCACCATCCCTTGAAACCACAGCCTCAGAGAGCCAGAAGTCTGCAGATCAGGGGACTGAAAGGACAGCAGGAGGAATAGAGATAATGCACAAAGAAGGATATTCAAGGCTGATGACAGAAGGAATGGTTGAGGAGCCCCAGTGGACCTTTGGACCCAAAGGAACAATGAAAGGAGACAGAGCTAGGCCTGATGTGCCTTTATTTCTTTCAGTTATGCTTGCGGCTAGAGCGGGGGTGAGGGAAAAGCCCATGGCCTGGGCTCCCTGGAGACCAGGGCTGATGATACCAGCTACCATAGGTAAGGTACCAGGCAAAGGTGCCTACTGCGGCACCCACCACCTTGTGAGTGTACTGGTGGAAATAGATGACGGTACAGAGCAGCAAGAAGTTCCAGAGGCCCAGCAGCAGC